AAACTTTAAACGCGGTTTTCTCTAAACAATTTTTGCGAATGGCGGGCACGATAACTCAAAAACTAATAATCCAATCGGTTCCAAATTTTGCAACGTTTCTCTGGGAGTGTATAGCTCTCGTATGAACTAGGATAAAGCCAATCGGTGAAGATCCTTATTTTTAACTTGGTTTTTGGTAAAAAATCGGCGATTTTCCAAAAATATTTTTTCAAAGGTCCACCATTTTGTTAATTTTAGAGCGAAGTCAATAATCCTAGTTCATACGAGAGCCAGACATATACTCTTTCTAACACCGTTGGAATTTTCGGATTCCGATGTTCCAGTGAGGAGTTATCATGCCCGCCATCAAAAATAAGGACTTCTCTTTAATTACAAAAAACAACAACAAAACAATAACAAAAATTTGTTGTAAATTATTTTTCTTCTCTTTTAAATCTTCAATTATATATGTGCAAAGTTACAAACCTTAACAAGCATTTGTATTCATTTACCAGCCCATTTAAAATCTTGAAAAATTAAAATCGAGAAGGGGGGGGGTTTCCCTTAAGCCAATTTTAATCCCAATTGGATCATAAGTACGATCTGTACTTTGTTTACAATTTAACATCACGGGCGGACGGATGGACGGACATGAATAAATCGATTCAGAAAGTGATTCTATGCAAACAAGAATCTATTTAGTTTTATTATGTCTGTTGCAAAGATACGTATACTGAACTGGAAAAATCAGCTATGACCTCTGTAATACCCAAAATGGTATGGATGTGTGTGTGACTTTTATATGGGAGCTATGCGTCAACATGGACTTATATGGACTAATTTTCCATGACGTTATCTATTAGTTATCTATTTCCTCATCCGAAAAAATTGGTTGTACGGTGAATATTTTTTGGTGATACAAATGACAAATTTGTATATATACTCAACCTTATAAAGAAGTTTATAAAAATGACCATCATATTATATTTAGATTCCATGTATAGGGTATCACAGGGTTGATGGATGATATCTTCAATTTTTTGTAATTTTTTTTTCAATATTTTTCCCAGAACAAAAATATTCAAGTACCCATTCACCCAATTAGCTACTTACAACAACAAACACTTCTAATTCATAATTGCCACAAATGGGCATATTCAAGTTTTGTTTTTTGTTTTACTTTAATTTTGCATGCATGCACTTGCAGTGTGTGTGTGAATATACCATATATGTATGTATGTGTGTTTGCCTATATTCCCGCTGTGTCGTCTTATAATTACCATAAATGTGTTTTCCTTAGTTTATTTTCCTCATCTTTTGTTATTGTTGTTGCAAAAAATATAATTACAAATGATTTATCTGCGCGGCAAATAGAGATGGACAGACAGTCAGACAGACAAGTGGTAATTGTGACAAATACCTGCACTTGAATATTCTTCTTCTGTTTCTTTTTGTTTTGATTCTATTTTGAATTCGATTTTTTTGTTTTTCATTCACACTTTTGTTTGTGTAAATAAACAATTTAGTAATACAGAAAAAAATATGCAAGTAATTGTAAAGTGTTGTTGTTGCTTTGTTCGCACTTGCGATTTGTTTTTCCGGCTACATTTTTTTGTGATCAAAGAAAATAACAGACAATTTGTTGCTAATTTGGCTCGTAGCCCATAGTAAAATAAAACTAAAAATATATATAATAAAAAAATCTTAAAGAACTTTTATTCTTTACTTTATAATAAATTATGATGAGATCTATGAAATGTGATCTTGGTTTAAAAAAGCTGGATTTGAATTTAAAAAAGTTTGGAAAAATCTATTTTTTGCCTTATAAGAAGGCGAATTCGGATTTAAAACCAGTGTGCAGAACAGTATAGTCGGACGGGGCCGACCATACGATACCATTCACAACTACCACGGAACTCTAATTTTCTAGGAATGTTTGTTTCGAGCCTGGGCAATATTTTGTGATATTTGCACCTTTTTGACCGATTACAGATCAAAAGCATATCTTCCTTACACTGACATATTTTTCGAATATTCCAAATATTCATCCAGATTCCCTTCAACGTGGATTATGTTGTGATGTTCGGCTTGTGGCCTATAGACCGGCTCGAAAAAAAAACACAAAAAATTAAATTTTCGATCCACTTCATTCAATTTTTTTTTATGTGATCATCACCGAAAATTATCTTGACCGATTAGAGAACAAAAGCATATCTTCCTTACACTGACATATTTTCCGAATATTCCCAATATTCATCCAGATTCCCTTTAACGTAAATTATGTTGTGATGTTCGGCTTGTGGCCTATAGATCGGCTCGAAAAAACACAAAAAATTTAATTTTCGGTCCACTTCATTCATTGTCATTGACCATAATTAGAACCTCTTGGAAAATACTATCAACTTCTCGGATATATGCCCTTCAGGAGTAAATATATACAATATAGAATAAAAATTTTGTTCTTTTTCACACAAAAGTCAGTAATTTGACCTGCTAAATAATGACCGATCCTTATAAAACAGGCATGCTTATTCTTTGACCCAATCCCCTTCTCCATGTAAAATTTCGTGATGTTCGGGTCATAATTGCGTTCTCAGTAGCGACCAGAAAAAACAACAAAAAATTAAGTATTTGATCCATTTCATCCCCTAAATATTAACCGATCTTTACCAAAAACAATCGTGGTCTTCATTGGCCAAAACCTACCCTACATGCAAAATTTCGTTAAGATTGATCCATAACTGTGGTCTGTTATAGTGTTTACAAATTATAATGGACAGATGGACGGACACACATGTCTAGATCTACTCAGCTAGTCGAGGTACGACGATTGGTATACTTAATGGAGGGCCTAGGACCAATATTTCGCGGCGTTACAAACTCTTAGGGCTGCACAAAGATATAATACCCTGACAACATAGTTGTGTAGAGTAGATGCAGATGTTTGTAACATACAAAAGTGAACCATAGTTTCTTATTAGAAGATATACCGAAGAATAACTTCCTGAGTCGATTAGTTTTGGGCATGTATTTATGCCCTACACCACACTGTGATACAGAGCTCCCCAGTACCATGCAAAAAAATCGTTAATAAAATCAAACTCTGCAGGACCTCCAATAAATGTGCTTTGAAAACGACACATCCAACCACTTCAAGGAGCTCCAAAAAATCCTAAAATAACCCACGCATATGGAGGTCTTAAAAATATCCTTAAAACATAGACTTTCTTCTGGAACTTCAAAGAGACATACCTAAACTATTAAGGAAAGTAGTAAAGTCGGACTGGGCCGACTATATGATACCCTTCACCACTTCCGATATATTGTACCATGTATCCTTACAATTGCAAGTCAATGTTCCCGCGAAGGAACATACTCATGTCATTTTGCAACCTATGATAAATTTAATTTCATTCAGGCCGATTTAGAGTCGTCTGAGTACCAAGGGACAAATTTATGAAAAACAATTTATAGTAAAATTGATACACGCTATTTGGTACGCAGCACTATTAAATATTTAATTCAATCTATTACCCGTTCGAAATACATATGGAAGCTATGGCTGCATCTGCACCAATTTCAACCAAACCCAATAACGTCATTCAAGTCTCAATTTGATACTGTTGTGCAAAATTTCGTGTTAATCGGACAAATATTAGGAGCTTGGAGCACCATTTATCGGAGAAAAATATATATGGGAGCCATATTTAATTCTGAACGGATCATCATTCTAGACTCAATTCATTACGCTGTGCCATATTTCGAGCAAATCGAACAATATTTAGGATGTTTGATGCACCATTTACATTAAATCGGACGAAAATATATATGTGAGCTATATCAAAATCTGACCCGATTTCCCAATTTCAATAGGGTTCGTCCTTGGGCCAAATAAATGAGCTGTGCCAAATTTCATCCAATTCGAAACATAAATGCGACCTGTACTTTGTTTACAATTTAACATGGACAGATGGACGGACGGACATGCATAAATCGACGTAGAACGTGATTCTATGCATATTCTCAAAAGGAACCATGTGTCTATCTCGTTTCCTTTTGCCTGTTACAAACATATGCACAAAGACGTAATACCCTGTACCACAGTGTTGTGAAGGGTATAAAAAGGTCTTTTAAATATTTTTAAAAAATGAATTAAAACCTACCGTCTCTCTACAACACCTCAAAAAACGCTCTGTGGAACCTTTAAAAATCCATCACGATCTCTTGAACTTCAAACAAATATTACTCAAAAAGTTTTCCCGCCCTACGGGACCTTCAAATATTGTTTCCAATAAAATTCATGTTCTTTAAAGATTTTCAAATAAACCTATTTGTAAAAAATCCACGTTTTACAGGAGCTTCAAAAATATATTTCATACAAGATCCACAATCTGCAGGATCTATAAAAAACATTTCTTAAATTTCACTATTTTGTAGGATCTATTTTTAAATATCCAGTATAAAACCCACCACGTTCTGCAGAACCTCCACAAAATATACTTTAAAAAATCCACGTCTTTCAGGATCTTGAAAATATCCTGGTACTGATGATGTCTGCAAAAAATTCACGTTTTTTAATCCACGCTTCAGAAAGGCCTAGACAAATATTCTTTAAAAAATCCACGTCTTGCAGGATCTTGAAAATATCCTGGTACTGATGATGTCTGGAAAAAATCCACGCCTCATAGACTTCAGATTCGTATTTTTTTAATCCTTTACAAATATTTTATTTAAAAAAATTAGAGTCTGTAGTATCTTAAAAAAATCCAAAGATATGGAGATGTTTCAAAAATATTTTGCTGAATCTAAAGAAGTATTAATTTTAAATCCAGGATCTGCAGGACTTTACAATATATTGCTCAAAAATCCACTGCCTACTTCAAAAAATACATTTCTAAGCTCTGCAAGACCTTACATTTTTTCAAAAAAATTTCGGATTTAAAAAAAATATTATTTTATATTTATTTAATTTTTTTCCAATATTTAAATTCATTCTCAATTTTGTCTTCCTCTCATTACAGATCTTCCCATTTGGAATTACGATGGTAGTTCCTGTTATCAGGCCTTGGGCTCCAATTCGGATACCTATTTACATCCGGTGGCCATTTACAAGGATCCCTTCCGTCGTGGTAATAACATTTTGGTAATGTGTGATACCTATAAGTTCGATGGCACTCCCACCGAGACAAATCATCGCAAATCATGTCTGGAGGTTGTCAACAAGTGTTTGGATGAAGAGCCATGGTTTGGCATTGAACAAGAATATACATTCCTTGATTTTGATGGTTATCCGTTGGGATGGCCTAAGAATGGTTTCCCCGGACCACAGGGACCCTACTATTGTGGTGTGGGTGCTAATAAGGTGGGGTGGACTCAAAATAGAATATATTTTGTTGACTATATTTAAATGTAATTTTTGTTACAGGTCTATGCCCGTGATGTTGTCGATGCCCATTACAGAGCCTGTTTGTATGCTGGTATTAAGGTATCGGGCACCAATGCTGAGGTAATGCCTGCCCAATGGGAATATCAGGTGGGACCATGTGTTGGCATTTCAATTGGTGATGACTTGTGGATGTCTAGATTCCTGTTGCATCGCATTGCCGAAGAGTTTGGTGTAAGTAGAAAGGAAGACCCTCATCAGGCCTCATATAGGCCTTGAAAAATAATCTTTAACAAATCCACGCCTCATATAGGCCTTGAAAAATAATCTTTAACAAATCCACGCCTCATAGAGGTCTTGAAAAATAATCTTTAAAACATCCACGCCTCATAGAGGTCTTGAAAAATGTAATTAAAAACATCCACGCCTCATAGAGGTCTTGAAAAATATTCTTTAAAACATCCACGCCTCATAGAGGTCTTGAAAAATATTCTTTAAAACATCCACGCCTCATAGAGGTCTTGAAAAATATTCTTTAAAACATCCACGCCTCATAGAGGTCTTGAAAAATACTCTTTAAAAAATCCACGGCTTATAAAGGTCTTGAAAAATATTCTTTAAAACATCAACGCCTCATAGAGGTCTTGAAAAATATTCTTTAACAAATCCACGCCTCTTATAGGCTTTGAAAAAATATTCTTTAAAACATCCAAGCCCCACGCCTAAGCCTCGGAAGGTCTTTGAAAAAATTTATTTAAAAAATCCACGCCTAAGCCTCGGAAGGTCTTTGAAAAAATTTATTTAAAAAATCCACGCCTAAGCCTCGGAAGGTCTTTGAAAAAATTTATTTAAAAAATCCACGCCTATCATTTGTGTGTCGGAAAATAAATTTGAAAAAATCGCCTAAGCCTCGGAAGGTCTTTGAAAAAATTTATTTAAAAAATCCACGCCTAATGTTTCAAGGAATTCTTTGAAAAAATCCATTTTTTGAAAAAATTTATTTAAAAAATCCACGCCTGACACACTTTGAAAAAATTTATTTAAAAAAAAAGCCTCGGAAGGTCTTTGAAAAAATTTATTTAAAAAATCCACGCCTGAAAAAATTTATTTAAGCCTCGGAAGGTGTTTGAAAAAATTTATTTAAAAAATCCACGCCTAAGCCTCGGAAGGTCTTTGAAAAAATTTATTTAAAAAATCCACGCCTAAGCCTCGGAAGGTCTTTGAAAAAATTTATTTAAAAAATCCACGCCTAAGCCTCGGAAGGTCTTTGAAAAAATTTATTTAAAAAATCCACGCCTAAGCCTCGGAAGGTCTTTGAAAAAATTTATTTAAAAAATCCACGCCTAAGCCTCGGAAGGTCTTTGAAAAAATTTATTTAAAAAATCCACGCCTAAGCCTCGGAAGGTCTTTGAAAAAATTTATTTAAAAAATCCACGCCTAAGCCTCGGAAGGTCTTTGAAAAAATTTATTTAAAAAATCCACGCCTAAGCCTCGAAAGGTCTTTGAAAAAATTTATTTAAAAAATAGCCTCGGAAGGTCTTTTAAAAAATTTATTTAAAAAATCCACGCCTAAGCCTCGGAAGGTCTTTGAAAAAATTTATTTAAAAAATCCACGCCTAAGCCTCGGAAGGTCTTTGAAAAAATTTATTTAAAAAATCCACGCCTAAGCCTCGGAAGGTCTTTGAAAAAATTTATTTAAAAAATCCACGCCTAAGCCTCGGAAGGTCTTTGAAAAAATTTATTTAAAAAATCCACGCCTAAGCCTCGGAAGGTCATTGAAAAAATTTATTTAAAAAATCCACGCCTAAGCCTCGGAAGGTCTTTGAAAAAATTTATTTAAAAAATCCACGCCTAAGCCTCGGAAGGTCTTTGAAAAAATTTATTTAAAAAATCCACGCCTAAAAAAGGTCTTTGAAAAAATTTATTTAAAAAATCCACGCCTAAGCCTCGGAAGGTCTTTGAAAAAATTTATTTAAAAAATCCACGCCTAAGCCTCGGAAGGTCTTTGAAAAAATTTATTTAAAAAATCCAGGCCTTAAAAAATATGGCCTTGAAAAAATTTATTTAAAAAATCCACGCCTAAGCCTAGGAAGGTCTTTGAAAAAATTTATTTAAAAAATCCACGCCTAAGCCTCGGAAGGTCTTTGAAAAAATTTATTTAAAAAATCCACGCCTAAGCCTCGGAAGGTCTTTGAAAAAATTTATTTAAAAAATCCACGCCTAAGCCTCGGAAGGTCTTTGAAAAAATTTATTTAAAAAATCCACGCCTAAGCCTCGGAAGGTCTTTGAAAAAATTTATTTAAAAAATCCACGCCTAAGCCTCGGAAGGTCTTTGAAAAAATTTATTTAAAAAATCCACGCCTAAGCCTCGGAAGGTCTTTGAAAAAATTTATTTAAAAAATCCACGCCTAAGCCTCGGAAGGTCTTTGAAAAAATTTATTTAAAAAATCCACGCCTAAGCCTCGGAAGGTCTTTGAAAAAATTTATTTAAAAAATCCACGCCTAAGCCTCGGAAGGTCTTTGAAAAAATTTATTTAAAAAAAACACGCCTAAGCCTCGGAAGGTCTTTGAAAAAATTTGAAAAAATTTAAAAAATCCACGCCTAAGCCTCGGAAGGTCTTTGAAAAAATTTATTTAAAAAATCCACGCCTAAGCCTCGGAAGGTCTTTGAAAAAATTTATTTAAAAAATCCACGCCTAAGCCTCGGAAGGTCTTTGAAAAAATTTATTTAAAAAATCCACGCCTAAGCCTCGGAAGGTCTAAAAAATTGAAAAAAATTTTATAAAATCTTTGACTACCTCGAAGCTGTAGTTCTCAAGTTCCACAGTTGGGCCGAATCTACTGGAAGTCTTGCGCGTTGATACCATCAGCAGCTTGGTCTTCTCGCCGTTTACTGCCAGATCCACTTTGGCAGACTCCTTCTCAATTTGTTCAAAGGTGGCTGTTACCGCTCTCAATGTCGATGTCATCGGCGTAGGCGAGTAACATGTGTTTATTGGTGTACAAAGTGCCATTTCTGCTCACCTTTGCCTCTCGTATGACCTTTTCCAGGAGGATGTTAAAAAGGTCACACGACAAACTGCCATCTTGTCTGAATCCTCGTTCGGTATTAAAGGGCTCCGAGAGGTCCTTTCCGCTGCTGATCTTGTGCCAGTTAATGTTATCCTGCATAGCCGAATTAATTTTGCAGGAATGCCAAACGGCTTTAAACATCTCTGAACGGATAGGGCTGTCGAATGCGGCTTTATAGTCGACGAATAGATGGAATGTGTCGATGTGTTTTTCGTGGGTTTTTCCAGGATTTGGCGCAGAGTGGAAATCTGGTCATTGGTGGACTTGCCAGGTCTGAAGCCGCATTGGTATGGTCCAATAATGTCATTGACCATTGGGTTCAGTCCGTTCACACAGTAGGGTGGATAGCACTTTATATGCGATGGGAAGGAGACTTATTCCTCTATAGTTGGCACATATCGTCTTGTCTCCTTTTTTGTACACGGGACACAGAATGCTGAGGTTCCAATCATTGGGCATGCAGTCATCTAGCCAAATTGTACTAATCACCTGGTGCATGCTCCTTACCAGCATCTGACCACCAGTCTTGAATATTTCGGCTTGTAACCCATCAGCACCTGCTGCTTTATTATTCTTCAGCCGATTGATTGTTATTCTAACCTCATCTTGGCTATGTGGTATACACTCTATGTCGTCATCTATTATTGGTTCTGGGGTATCCTATTCACCGCTACTATTTGATACCAGAAGTTTTTCAAAATGCTCCTTTCAGATCCTCAGCGCGCTGTCTGTATCTGTCACCAGGTTTCTTTCTTCATCTCTACAGGAGGATGTGCTTGCACCAAAGCCTTCAGTTTGGTGTTTTAGCCGTTGGTAGAATTTTTGGACTTCATTCTGACTCCGGTACATCTCGATTTGCTCACGCGCACATTATTCTTGTTCTTTCTTATTTTTTCTGAAAATACTCCTTCTCCTCCTCTCCTTTTTTCCCGACAGTTCTCCATCGCATTACGTGTTGCTACTGTCCGCCGGGTTGCCCTATACGCTGCGTTTTTCATATCAGTAGCATTACGACACCATGATCGTACCAAGGATTTCTTGATGGTGGTTTTTGCTTTTGCTGCAGTTTGTAGGAAGTGGGCAATTCTTTGCCATTGTGCTTCTATTCTATTATCGGGACAAGAAGTGCTTTCGTCAAGCAGGTGGGTAAGTTGAGCGGAATAGGCCTCTGCTACCTGTTGTGTTTGCAGCTTTTCGACGTCGAGTTTCCGTGTTGTATTAGATCGCACCTTTGCTGCAACATTAAGACGGGTGCGTACCTTGGCTGCCACAAGGTAATGGTCCGAATCGATATTCGCCCCCGCATTGATCGGACGTCTAAAACACTGGATGAATGCCTTCCGTCTATCATAACATGGTCAATTTGATTTCTCATTGCTTGATCAGGAGAAATCCAGGTGGCCTTGTGTATATCGAGATGCTTGAATCTGGGGCGGCTAACTATGTACCATGTTTTTTGCTGCCGCGAAGTTACACAACCTCAAGTCGTTGTAGGATGTTCCTTCGTGGAGGACCAAAAATAGTTTCCTTTCCGGTTTTTGCATTAAAGGACAGCGGTCATATGCAGTTTCTAGGCGCTCGTAAAAATGTCTTAGGTCTGTTCATCTTTGTCTTGGCGTCGTAACATGGGCGCATATAAGACTGATGTAGAAGAACTTCGCTTTTATGCGGATTATATCAATTCGCTCATCTACTGGAGTGAATCGGGAGACGAGGTATTTTATTCTCCTATCTTTTTTCTATAGAAAAAAAATCCTCAGGTCCGACTGAGGAGTCTTTTTTCTATTGATAAAAGAGTCCTCAGAGATTCACACCTCGTCTCCACAAAGAGTCCTCAGGTCCGACTGAGGACTCTTTTCTTTTCGTTGCATTTTCATAGTAAGAGGGGTTTTCGAGTGTGGGCAACTAACCCGACGCCTCAACCCATTTTTATACCCTTCACCACACTGTGGTACAGGGTATTATGTCTTTGTGCATATGTTTGTAACAGGCAAAAGGAAACGAGATAGACACATGGTTCCTTTTGAGAATATGCATAGAATCACTTTCTAAGTCGATTTATGCATGTCCGTCCGTCCGTCTGTCCATGTATTTTTGTGAGCAAAGTACAGGTCGCAATTATGATCCGAATTGGATGAAATTTGGCACAGCTCATTTGTTTGGCCCAAGGACGAACCCTATTGAAATTGGGAAAAATCGGTTCAGAT